CCGGGTCGAGGCTGCGGTGGCCGGGAGCGGCCACTGCACTCCAGTCTGGGCGACTGAGTGAGACTCCAACTCAAAAAAAAAAAAAGATGTATCAAAGAGATGAGGTCTTGCCACATTACTCAGGCTGGTCTCGAACCCCTGGACTCAGGCAGTTCTCTCGCTTTCACCTCCCAAAGTGCTGGGATTACAGGCATGAGCCACTGTGCCTGGCTGCCTGCTATTAAATTATACCTGTGTTAATTATCTTAAAGTCTTACAAAGGATTTGAGCCTAAAAGATTCTCTCTGACCTAAACATAATCACTCATTCCCAGCAGTCATAAATCCCAACTCTAACATATTTGCCTGTTTATAACTGTCACTTCAGGAAATGAGTACAATATTAATCTTTTTTCTACTTGATCTTGAATACTACAAATAGAGCACAAAATAAAATTGAAGAAGTGTACACTCTGTTTTGATTGAAAAACTGACATTCAAGTTTTCTTAACCCAGGAAAATAGGATATGGTAAGAAAAAAAGTGGGGGGGACACAAAATAAAATTTACTTTGGTAGAAATTATTATTATTATTATTATTATTATTTTGAGTTGGAGTCTCACTCCATCGCCCAGACTGGAGTGCAGCGGCCGCTCCTGGGCCACTGCAGCCTCAACCTGCTGGGCTCCGGTGATCCTTCTGCCTCAGCCTTCCAAGTAGCTGGAACTACGGGCGCGCGCTACCATGCCCGGCTAATTTTTTAATTATTGTAGAGATGAGGTCTCGCCAAGTTGCCCAGGCAGGTCTCGAACCCGCGGGCTCAGGCAATCCACTCACCTCAGCCTTCCAAAGGCGCAGGATTACAGGCTGAGCCACCGAGCCCGGCTGAAATTATTATTATTATTTGAGTCGGAGTCTCATTCTGTCACACAGACTTGAGTACAGTGGCATGTTCACAGCCACTACAGCTTCTACCTACAGGGTTCAGGTGATCCTTCCACTTTAGTCTTCCAAATAGTTGGAACTACAGGCAAGCACCTAGCTAATTTTTTTGAATTATTGTAGAGATTAGGTCTCACCATGTTGTCCAGGCTGGTCTCGAACCCCTGGGCTCAGGCAATTGTCTCGCCTCTGCATCCCAAAGTGCTGGGATTACAGGCATGAGCCACTGCTCCCAGTGGTAGAAATTATAGTAAGTAAGATTTAGTGTGTACAAAAATAAGATAAAACTGATTAATACATCAAATTTTTGTCATAAGTGATTAAAGAAAATCAAATTAATTCAAAACAAAGGAATTCCAATAAAATAAAAATTTAAATAAAGGTTAACTGCATTCTTTAGGAAATTAATATAGAAATTAAGTGGTCATAATCAAGTTTACTCTAAGGGCTACCTTTTGAATGAAAAGCCATCCACAATGATGAAACTTTAGTTTTTGTTTTTTGTTTTTTTGTTTTGATTTGGAGTCTCACTCTGTCGCCCAGGCTGTAGTGCAGTGGCACGCTCATGGCCACTCCAGCATCAACCTGCTGGGCTCTGACAATCCTTCTGCCTCAGCCTTCCAAGTAGCCAGAACTACAGGCATGCACTATTATGCTTAGGTAATTTTTTTGATTTATTGTAGAGACAGGGTCTCGCCAAGTTGTCCAGGTTGGTCTCACACCCGCGGGCTCAGGCAATCCACTTGCCTCAACCTCCCAAGGTGCTGGGATTACAGGCTGAGCCACCGAGCCCGGCCAAAACTCTAGTTATTTTATTTTATTTTATTTTTTGAGTTGGAGTCTCACTCTGTCACCCAGACTGGGAAACTCTAGTTATTATGTTTACTCTCACAAACAGAATCAAAGCATCCTTGGGTAGGAAATAGGGGGTCAGAATTTCCATTGCTCACCTGTGGTTTAGGAAGCAGCTGGAACTCCCTGTCTAGAGCTTAAGAAGTTAGGGCTGCCAGGCACAGTGGCTCACACCTGTAATACCAACATATTGGAAAGCGGAGGCAATAGGATTGCTGAGTCAAGGGTTCGAGTCCAGCCTGAGCAACTTGGTGAGCCCTCATCTCTACAATAAATCAAAAATATTAGTCGGGCATGATGGCACACACCTGTGGTTCCAATTACTTGGAAGGCTGAGGTAGAAGGATCACCTTAGTCCAGCAGCCACTGCACTCCAGCCTGGGTGACAGAGTGAGGTTCCTATTCAAAAAGAAGTTAGGGCTAAAAATCAGATTCTGAAGTTATCACTGTGTAAGTATTTGTTTTCTTTTGCATGTGTCATGAAATAATAATGCATAGTAGGAACCTAATAAATGCATGTTAAATGCCAGATGCTTTCTAGTAAACCCTACAAACATTATCAGCAGACAAATTGCACCGATAGTCATCCATTATATATATATAAACACACAAACACACACACACACACACACATATATATCTCCATCTTTTTTTAGGGTCTTACTGTGACACACACATACACACACACACACACACACACATATATCCATCTTTTTTTTTTT